GATGATCAATTAAAGTAAAGAAATAATGATAAAGTTAAAGGGAGAAAATAGATTTATTTACTTTAAAAAATTAAAAAAGCAACAATTTAAATTTAAAATAAATTAAAAATTAAAAGAAAAAACAATTATTTTAGAAAGAAGAAGAACAAATTTAATTATAGGGGATGAGAAAATTAGACTTTGAGATGGCAATTTAACTCCAACAGGTATACTCGCATGTTTTACTAGCTTATGGGCGGACGTGAGCATGCGTTTTTAAAATTTTACCTGGATCCACGTTTAGGAATGGGGAAAGAAGAACCTCTCTTGCCTTTACTTCCGCCATTGGTGCGACAAACTCCATATATGTTCGTAGATTTTAAGGAAAGTCATCATATATCTGGCAAACTAAAATGACCTTATTTCTATGCTCCTATTGTTTAGTATTTACAAGCGCAAAGCTCTTCAAAATTTTCCTCAATATATATAAAACGGTAAAATCTTACTTTTAACTTATCATCTTATACTATAATATTTTTAATCTTTCAACTTACTAGATTTATAAATTTTAACTTCTTATTACAATTTTAACCTCTTATTACACTTTTAACCCGTTACCTATTAAAATTAACGAAAATAATTCTCACTTTGTAATATTTTGTTAGTTTTATTAATTGATTATTAATTTTATTAATTGATTATTAATTGACTGTTAACTGACAAAAACCTTCTTTTAGCTAATAAAATTAACAGAATTAATTTTATAATATTTCGTTAATTATGTTAATTGATTATCAGTTGACCGTTAGTTAACAAAAATTTACTTTTAGCTAACAGAGTTAATAGTTACTATAAAATTAGAGTTATTTTCTTAAATTTTAATAGGTGAGGAGCCAAAACCTATAAATCTAAAAGGTGAGGAATTAAAAGTATTATAATATAAATTAAGAGGTTAAAACCTTCAAATTTAATAAGATGAAAAGTTCAAAGTAAGTCTTTACCTATATGAAACTGTATCTTCCTGTGTGAGCCAAGTTTACCTCCATCAAAGATTTTTTAATAAGAAAGCAATTATCAGTTTTGAGGACTATTTTGCCCCCTTTCCTCCACATATTAGACCTAGTTTACAAAATTAAGAGGGTGTTTAACCAAATTTAAAAAGCATATGCTCAGAAAGCAAATTCATCTTTTATGAACTTAAAATTTGAAATATTGTTAAACAAATATTTAAAAATTAGTTTTAAATTGACTTTTAAACAAATTTTAAGAAAATTACACTTCTAAATTTATTTAAATACTATTTAAAAATTAATTTTTAAATTTCTCTCTAATATAATTTTAATTTTATGAGAGAAAGAATTTATTTTTTTAAGTAAATTACTTTTTAAATTTTGTGAGTAGTAGAGCATGAGTCTTTCTTCACCAAAGAGGAAGAAAATTACACTTCTAAATTTATTTAAATACTATTTAAAAATTAATTTTTAGATTTCTCTCTAATATAATTTTAATTTTATGAGAGAAAGAATTTATTTTTTTAAGTAAATTACTTTTTAAATTTTGTGGGTAGTAGAGCATGGGTCTTTCTTCACCAAAGAGGAAGACTCAATAAATATATATAAGGATTTATTTATATACAAATTTTATATATCATATTTATATAAGAT